ATAGACAGCGGTCTTCTCACTATATCCCTCTCATGGCAAAGGAGCTCCCTCTCTCTTCTGTAAGGGAACTCTTCTGCCATTGATGAGGGCTCTACCCTTAGGACCTAATTATCTCCCAAAGGCCACATCTCCAAACAGCATCACATTCAGGGTTTAGGGACCTTGTATGAATTTTGAGGGGATACAAATCTTCACTCGGTCAATAGCACCCTCCTTCTGATCTACCCCCCAAGCAAAGGGTCTGATCTCTTCCTCCCAACAGTTGCCTCTTCCTGTATACACTCATACTAACCTCTCACACCATTGAGAACTCATACACCATAGAAACTATATGCACAATTCATTTTGTCTCCCACAATCCTAGCGGTCAGCGCACAGTGCATCCATCTGACAGATGGGACCTCTGGGCAAGCAAAGGTCCACAAGCCCACAGGGATGAACTGTAGCTGAGCCAGAATGGGAATCCCAGGCTGTGACCACAGAGGCCACACCATGTGGCTTTGTCAACGCTGTGCTATCTCCCTGACAGGATCCCCACCCTGTGTCCCAGCCCCCTGAAAGTCATGCCTGACTCTCTGACCATGGGACAAAAACTATTGTTACTAAAATGACAGTGGCTAAATTTGGCCTAAAATATCAGCTCTGTATATCCAAGTCACACCTTTCTTTTAACTGAAAATCTCAGTTAGCTGAATGGGGGGAAAAGCATAGAATCCCCCAGGCTTGAAGACATAAAGACAAGTAGCAACCCTTTCTTCTAGCTTGGGGACCAAGGTAGAAAGAGGAGACCCCTTAAATCTGAATGTCCCAGGGCCCTTCTGCTCCAAAATACAGAAGAATTATCAACTGGCTAGAGTACCAGTAGACAGAATATTCGTAGTGCTTTCTTGCCTATCTACATTTTTTATAAGAAATCATCAGAAAATAAGCTCCCATCAAGGGTTTAATTCTCTTAAAAAAAAAAAAGTTTCCAGGAGTGTCCTGTGGTCTGTTAGAGATGCAGACCATCTCCCAGAACATCGTGAGAGACTCTGGCCTGGCCATGTTCAAGTGGGCGTCAAGGCCCTGGAGGCTCAAGGTGAGGAGGGGGCAGGAGCCAGGTGCAGCTCTGGGTCCCGACCCACACCTCAGTCACAGCAACTCCACTTGATGTGTGAGCTGAGTTTAAATATCTGGGCCCCATGTAAGATCTTATCTGGGGGAGAAGGAAAGGGTGCCATAAAAAAGAAAAGGAAAAAGGGATCTAACCAACTCTTCATGGTACAAAAAGCAAACTGAAGCCCAAGAGAAAAAAGGACTTACTCAGCACCACACAGCTGCTGGTGACTGGAATTAAATACTCTTTGTGTTATATCCGTATCCTAAACCTTCTCTAAGTCACTGAGTCACACTTGGTAGTATTTACTAAGGGCACTTCGGGCAACCAGTGACGAGCAAAACCCCGTCCTGCCCATGGGATTGCTGGGTGGACCAGCGTGGGGACGGATACAAGTCAAAGCCTGGAAAAGACACACTTGTAATTTCTGCTGAGGTCTCAGCTCCAAGAGGAGGGGTGGCAGGATCTGGCCTGAGCTGAGGGTGAAGAGAAACACCTCTGCGGAAGGGGAGGAGGAGCTGAGCTGAAGGACGAAGGAAGGGGGAGCTGTGGGAAAGACAGCTCACATAGTCACTGTGGCACCTGAGGCTTGGCTCATCGGCACCTGGAGAAGTCCTGTGACAAGTGGTTGAGTACTGCCCCCCAAAGGAGTTTCCTTCAGGGAGGACACAGCCTCTCCCAGCACTGAGCAGCTATTGCCACTGAGCTCGGCACACCTCATCCCTTTTCAGACCACCCTGCAAAGCAAGCGGTGGCATCCCCATCTCCCAGGCAAGGAAGCAGTCTCCACCAGGTTAGCAGAGTGGAGAATCCCATGGCTGAGAAGAGGCAGGGCCATAGTTTCAACCGGAGGTATAGGACCCCAATCCCATGCCCTGTCCACGATCCCTGAGCCCTCAGAGTGCCCAGTTGGCACCGGGAACTCTGCCGGGAGCTGGCAGGGTCCAGCCGCTGCCACCCGAAGGCTGTCCACTGCTGAGCAACAGAACTCCCCTTGGGCTGTCTGTCCTGACTATGAGGGACACAGTTCTCTCTTCAGTCTCCACATCAAGGGTTGCACGGGACCTAGAAACTGAAGTTGGCCGTGTGTTTAACAAGCTAACCCCGTGAGGAAGGCCAGGTATTGGGAATGCCAGAGAAATGACAGGGACCTGGAGTGAAGGGAGGAAAACCAGGTCAGGGGAAGAAGTCCTTCCTGCCTTCTAAGCAGTGTCCTCCCCATCTGGCAAACACACACACACCTACACATCCACACAAGCCTGTGCACACTATCCCATGCACACCCCATGCACACATACACACAATGTACATACACATGCACACACACAATACACACCCCATGCACACAACAGATACACACTCACACCTACACGTGCACACACATAATACACATCCACACACACATGTGCACACTCTCCCATGCAGACAATACACACATATACATATGCACACACGTGTATACATGCATGCACACGCATGTGCACAGATGCACACATATACCCTCTCTTACTCCAGAACCGTATGCCTCCCCTGACACCAAGATCAGTCCAAATTCTTACTTTAATAGCCAAACTGCAGAGGAGGAGCAGTCCTACAGCCCCAGCAAAAACAGGGAGAGAGGTGTAGGGCTGAGGCAGGGAAAGAACCTAGCCCCAGTCTCACCTCTTTGGCTTAAGATGTCATTTGGGGCAAAGGATATAGAAAACTCCTGAGCACCATCCCTGAACAAACTCAGCACTTTCTGTCTGTGCCTCTAGAAGACGGGTGCCCAGCTTCCCGGGCCCCTTCTGATAGCTCCAGGCTGAGCCCAGCTAGAGGGTAGGGGTACCATGTGACCTAGGCTGGCCTACTGAGTCATTGCATTTGCTGATCAGGGATTGGTTCAAGAATGGGCATGTGACCCAAATGAGTGACTGAGAACCTTCCCTGGATCTCTGTGGGAGTTTTTTTGGCCAATTAGCTTGCAGCCCCCTCTTTCCAGGGGTCACTAAATTCATATGATGAAATTCCAGGATGCTGGTAGCTGTCTTATTGTCAATGCAGAGGGCAGGAGGGCCAGGGAGTCCATGTTTGAATGAAATCCTTCAAATCCCTGGATCCAGCTATACCTGAAGCTGATGAACTTTATTAAGGGATAAGAACTAATCAAGGACCGTTTCTCCTTAAGTCAGTTTGAGTCTCCATCACCTGTAATCACCAGCACTGATTTGGGTCTTAGGTATCCTCATCTTCTAAAGCTACCTGACTCTCACTTTCATTTCCCTCTGCACACATTCCCTCCTACTATCCTATAGTCTTGGGGCAGAGCCTGCCAATCTCCATGAAACCCTCACAAAGCCCAGCATGGTTCTGATCCCCTGGCAGACTGACCATCAGTGACTAGTAAGGAGCAGGGTAGTGTTCTTCTTTGGCAGAGCAATAAAGACAAAGCAAATCACTTGGGTCCGATGTTCTTTCAAAATGAAACAGAACTGAGACCAGAGCCACAGGCTGTGGTGGACAGTGTTGGGGTCAGGGCTGTCCTCGTGTTCTACTCTCTATCCCCCAGTGACTTCCACTAGGTTTATGGCTACACACTACCAGCCAACTCAGTCCTGGGATGATAGAAAGAGACAGAAATAGAAAATTAAGTTATATCCTGGCTGCAGCGAAGGCCATAAAAATAGGTAACACTACAAAGAAAAACACATAAGATTTATGCAATGGCTGTAGGATCCAGGATTTATCTGGGATTTCTGCCAAAACCTAAGGGACTAAGGGCCCTGGGGCCAGTGACCCCCCTGGTGCTGAATGGGAACAGTGTCCCTTTGGCTTCACTTTATTCCCGCTGGATTTTCTTTCAGGGTTCACACATCAATAGCAAGTACAGGTCAGTGGGCCACAACCTTAACATACTTGAAGCTCCTTTTTTTTATCCCAAAATGACCCAAAATGATTCACTTACATAGCACGTTTTTAAAAACAACAAACAAACAAACAAACACAAAAGCAATTTAATGCCCCAGCTGAAAGATAACGGAGAAATAAGAAGAAAGTAACATTGTACTGCACCTATTTCAAATTGTGACGGCTGAGGCAGGACCGTGTGAGGGGCTGTAACGAAGTCGGCAGGGAGTTACTAGTTTGGACTTCAGGGAAGAGAGAGGACCGGAGCAATTCCTAACCATACAGGAAAATCAAAGAGCAGAGTTGAGCGGTGAGTAAGATGAGGGCAGTCAGCAGGCCTCAGTGAGGTTCTGGGTAACGAGCTCTCCATGATTGTCAGGGGCGGATCTGCGAGCTTCATTGCGCAGAGTGCTCGCCAGCCAGCTTTCCTGCTCTCCGTCCACCAAATGCCAGGAGTGTCCCTTCCAAACACCGCAACAACCCAAGCCCGTGCCTGCCATCGGTACAATGGCCCGGATGCAGCAGCATCCTGCTGGAGCCCCACTGAGGTGGGCTGTAAGGACACCAGGCTCAGAGGTGCTGGCTTCCCAGACTTAGAGAGCTTCAGGAGGAAGAGGAGGAAGGGAGTCCCATGGTACTCTCTCTCGGTTTCCCCTGCCACCACCATCCCTGGGGCCAGAGGGACTGGGCAGGCAAGGACAGACCTCATCCTGCCCTCAGCTTCCTGCATGTGCAGAGCGTGCAGCATCAGCTAGGTTCAGCCGGCATGGAAGGCAAAGTCCGAGCCTGGAAGGTTGTCCTCCTGGTTCACGTCACGTTTCACATCTCAATTTCCCCTTGTCTTCCATGCAGTCCCAAGGGAGCTGGACACCTGTCTAAATGCTGCTGCTCCTGTGAGCACGACCCCACCAGCAGTTCGGCCAGACTCCACAGGGGACAGCAGTAACTGAAAGGGATATGCAGAATCCCGGGGTGGGGCGTGGCAGGTGAGGGTGTAACTGCTCATTTGCATATCATGGTCCACAATGTTCTAAAGAAATGTGCCTAGCTGAATTCTTGTAGGTTAAACGCATGATGGATCCCACCAGAGAAGCTCTGGAAAGACCAGGGGTTTGACAGATGATAAGCTGAAGTGTCTAGAAGGACACCCCAGGGTTTGTATAGGATTGTCTGATGTAGCCAATGATGAGTGAACTCCCGGCTCTGGAGATGGCTGGGTCCCGTCATATGATGGTGCAGCCACAGCAGTACTGCTCAGGGTAATCGACCACGTACACTCTGTGGTCCGTGCCGTAGATGTAGTAGACGTAAGTCTGTCCTTGGTACCAATAATGCACTTCTGTGAGGGGGATCAGCTCAATGGTCTGGCGCTGGGGAAACAATTGCCCAAGAATAAACTTCAGTGCTCTAGTCAAGTCAATCGCCTGTTCAAGAACCTTCGGTGGCTCCCTACTACCTATGGAGTGAAGTTCACACTCTGGAGTTGGCATTTCAGCTCCCGTGTGCCTTTCTAGGTGTATCTCCTACTACACTCCTTCATGCACACTAAGCTCTGCTCCAAACGGACTTTTCAGCCTTAGCAACCATCTGATGCTATGTTTCACGGAGGTACATCCCCACGGGAGTCCCGGGATGTATGGTAAGCCTCCAGGCAAATAGGACATCTTTCAGGAGCATTACTTTTTGGGGGCGCCTGGGTGGCTCAGTGGGTTAAGCCTCTGCCTTCAGCTCAGGTCATGATCTCAGGGTGTTGGGATCGAGCCCCGCATCAGGCTCTCTGCTCAGCGGGGAGCCTGCTTCCCTTCCTCTCTCTCTCTGCCTGCTGCTCTGCCTACTTGTGATCTCTGTCAAATAAATAAATAAAATCTTTAAAAAAAAAAAAAAAGAAGTGTTACTTTTTAGATGGGGAGGAAGGGCAGAGAAAGGTGGAAGATAAAGTCATTTTAACCATCTCTACATTAATACAGCCATGGAGATATTAGGGAGTAGCTTATACAAATTGAATTAAATTTTAAAATAAAACAATGACATCAAAGAAATTCCAAAATCTGGTGGTCCACTTCAGGCTTTTTTTTCTCAGGACACTCTCTACCTCACCATGGTCTTGCACTGACCTTCCTCTGAAGGCCTCTCGTGCTCTGGCATCTTCTCGGAGCAGTTACTCTTCCAAAACTGTGGGACCCCCAATGGAATGTGGAAGACCACCTTGGGAGGAGAACACTGGCATCCTACTGAAATACCCTCCTTCCTCTGCTTTGGGTGCTGCTGTGTTAGGACAACTACGGGCAGCGGACATAGGAAAGCTACTCCTTATCACCGAAGCTAAGCTTCATCAGGGATGTCCTGTGGTCCAGGCTCTGCATCAAAACCCCAGAGTTCTTCTACATGAGAGGCTTCTTTGTCCCAGACCCACATCTAGGGGTCCACACACCCAGAGGGAGGTAGTGTAGATGGCCCAGGGTTAGACCTTCTTACTTCAGGAAGTTCCACTCCTTGGGGACAGTTCCAAGTCCTGTCACCATAGGTGATGGTCCAGAGGCCAATGGGAAAGGGGAAACAGACCAGGCAGGGGATTTTGAGAAGCAGGCTCCCCACTGGACAGGAGGGGCAGCCGAAGGGCATTGTGACACTGTGGCAGGAAGAGAGGACTTAGAGTCAAGGACTGCCTCTTCCATGAAGGTCCCAGCATGATCTAGTGTTTGCTTGTTCTAGGAAATGGGAATAGAAGCTTCTAGACCACAGAGTTGTTGAGAACACCAAATGAGATCTGGAGACTTTCCATATGCCAGAAAGTGGTGTCTACGTGGTAATTTTGGAAATCAAAGGCAGAAGACCCCCTTTCTGTTATGGAAGACACAAAATGGGCACCAGGAGAAGGCAGGAGCCCATATTACTGCTCCAAGCACCTGGGCAGTGGGGGTCAGGGTCACTCTTGTTTCTAGACTTTTCTGCCAAGATCAAATGGAAAATGATACTGGTTCCAACCCCTCCTGCCTCCATTTGCTTTGCATTCAAAAGGCCTCCAGGTCTGAGGCTACAGACTGATTAGGACATCAGCTGTCATCAGGTGGCTGCCTTGTAATCAGCCACAGATGTATTGGCACACTTTGGTCATCCCCCCAGGACGAGCAGTTTCCATGTCTGAGAGCACTGGAAGAGGGGAGGGGACACATTGTCATGACAGGTGTGTGCTCAGGCTGCCTCCATGTGCTAAGTTCTCAGTCCTGAACAAATTATCAGCAAGCATCTTTGTCTACAGATGCAGGACCAGAAAGATTCACAAAAGAGCCACTTTCTCCCACGGCACTCCCTTTTAATAAAATCCATCCACCTGTCCCTGGTTTACCCTTCCCTGCTCCAGGACTGGTTCACAGGGGGCTTGTGTTGCCCAAGACAGGACTGTCCTGTAGGGGACAGTCCCCAAAGATCCAGGACTACCACGGACACACTGTGTGGTCTTGGGCAGCTCATTTCCCCTCTTCAACCTCAGTTGCCCCAGCTGCCAAATCAAGGGCCCAAAAAGGACTCACCATTTGAGTTATTCTGAGTTATCAGAATCAGAGTTATATCTGAGATAACTCAGAATAACTACCAGTGTCTGCAAGCTGCTAAAATCAAGCCCTTATCTTCTTCCCATTCCTGGAATCAATACCCCAAAACTGGGGGCTCTTTGTGTAAACCACACCATTAATACTAATGAGGCAAGAGCAAAGTCCCACAGGGATGATGCTCTGGGGATTTCCACGGACTCTGTTCCTGTCTCACCCACATTCCTGCACATCTGCTTCTTCACTGCTACTCACAGCCCATTGTTGTTCCGCAGGATCCTGTCCTTGAGACACAGAACCCCCCTCACACACAAGGAACATAACGTGCCTGGGGAATTGTGCCCAGTGATTGGATGATACCAAACAACACGAGGCCAGCCCCCTCATCTCCAGGCACACAGTTGCCGTACTCAGAGCTTCCATGGGATGGAGCAGTGATTGGACCTTTGCCACACTGCACCCTTCTGTGACCTCTGCTCCCCACTCCTCTGGCTCTGGATCCCTTCCTTCTTTACAAGTTTCTCCTGGGAGCCCTTTCTTCATAAATGTCCTGCACACAAGCTCTGATCTTGAAGCTGCTTCTGCAGCCGCTAACCTAAGGCCACGTCCAACCCACCTCATTTTAAAGATGAGGACATTGAGGCCTTGAGAAGGGAAGAGCTTGGCTTGGAGCCATGCGCATGAGTGAACCTGGGACGTGACTGGTCCCTGTGATGTGTCTGGCCCCAGCTCCCCCTCAGTGGACGCCCCCGTAAACCCTCACTGGCTTCCAAGGAGTTGTGTATCTTGAATGCAGTGAGTAGTAACATTTGGCTTGGAGCTAGGAAGTGGCTTCTTCTCCTGGGCTCTTCCACTAAGCAGCTGTGTGGTTTCAGGTAAATTACTTCCTCTCCCAGCTGTAAACAGCATGGGTTGGGGGCTAGGCAGGGGTAGCTGATGACAGCCTACATACCAGAGCCAACCCATTAGCCCATTCAGTATTCCCAGTGTTTTTAAATTTTTGTTCTCCGTATCAAAAACTTGGAAGATGTCATATAAAAATCTGGAGTTTCAGAGATCTGAAATTGCTGCCCTGAGCCTACACCAAGATGAGTGGTGGCCCACCCCTTTGGACAGATAAGGCGGCTCTCCCTACCGTGGTAGCACCGGCCGTGGCAGGCCTTTAAGGTTGCAATGCCCCAAATCCATGATTTCTGAGGCCCACTGCCGCTCCAAGATGGCTATCACTACTTTTTAGTTAAATGCACCCTTCTCTCTCCTGCAGACAGGGGAGATGTACAAAGAGAGAGAAAGAGAAATACTCATTGAAAAGGGACCAGAAGGGGGTCGCCTGGGCGGCTTAGTGGGTTAAGCCTCTGCCTTCGGCTCTGGTCGTGATCTCAGGGTCCTTGGATTGAGACCCACATGGGGCTCTCTGCTCGGCAGGGAGCCTGCTTTCTCCTCTCTCTCTCTGCCTGTTTGTGATCTCTGTCTGTCAAATAAATAAATAAAATCTTAAAAAAAAAAAAAAGAAAGAAAGAAAAGGGACCAGAAGGAAAGGCACATTTTGAGCACCAGGTTCCAAGCATTTAAAGCAAATTATTGCATCTCTACCAAACCCTGAGGTGGTGCAAACATCTCTTTTTCACTGGTGAGAAATCGGACTTCAGGAAGAAGAAGTAGCTGGTCCAGAACCACAGTGAGACACAGAAAACCAGGATAAAAGCCCAGCCTACAAGACTTAGGAAGCTCCAGCGCTCTCTGTTCCCTAGCCAACCCCCAGCTCCCCGCCCCAGCCCTGTGCTCCCATGACCCCTCAAAGCCGCAACAGGCACCACCGCCATCTAGTGGCCATCCCAACACAGTACCAAAGCAACCCTTAGGCCTGAAACCATTCCCCCGACAAGAGAAGGGGCTCTGAAGGGCCGGACCCCCGGTGCCAGACTTGCCTAGGACCCCGAGTCTTGAACTTGTCCTCTCCCTCTCTGAAAATTCTAACCCACGGGGTTAGAGTCAAAATCATGCTGAGCTACAGTCCTGCTTGAAACCCTACAGTAGCTTCCCCGTTGCTCTCAGGATAAGAATCCTAATCTCTACGCCCAGGGGTCTGCCCAGGGGTCCCACCTGCCCGCGGCCCACACTGCTCTGCTCTCTGCCCTCCGGCCACATGGCCTCTGGTCTGTCTCTAGTACTCCCCCATGCCCCCTTCCGAAACTGAAACCGGGACTCCTTTCCTCCACCCTTACCCTAGCTGGCGCCCTTGCTCTCTTCTCGGAAAGGGGACCCTTGCCGAGGGAACAGCGCATTCCTTCATGTGACCAGAGAGTTGGCACCCTCAGAGCCCCAGCCCGGCCCCCAGAGCCTCCCGACAGTCCCCAGTCCCCACCTCACTCACCTGCTGAAGGACTCGGGCGCGGGAGGTCAGGGCGGCGCTGTGCTCCGCGATGCCCCTCTGCGAGGCCAGAGAGATCTCCCACAGCGGGAAATCCACAATGGGGTACACCTGCAGGAGAGATGCAGCCCACCTCGCTGGCCTGGCCCAGGGTGTCCGCACTTGGAGCCTTGCGGCTCTGATTCACAGGGGCTGGAAAACGAGCCCAGACAGGGTGGGGGGGAGGGCCGGAGGCCACCCGGTGAGTGCGTGGGGATTGTCTAACTTCCAGGGAGCTTTGATTACCACCCTGCCAGCTCAGGAATTCCAACCAAGAAAGGGGGGCTGTGGACAGAGCACTCCTTCACCTGCAACCCACTCTCTCACCCAGCACCTCTCTGCCACTATCCCACTGGGGCGGGGGATGGGGCTTCCTGGGGACATGCCCGAGCTGAGCCTTTAGGAAGCCAGACTGGGGCAAAGAAAGGAGGCTGAAGATGATTATACCACCATAAAAAAGCAGGAAACCCTGCCAGTAGCAACGACAGTGATGGACACTGAGGCCTTATGCTAAAGCAGATAAATCAGAGGAAAACAAATACTGTATGATCTCACATGTGGAATCTAAAAAACAAACTCATAGATTCAGAAACAGATTGGTGGTTGTGGGGTGTGAAATGGGAGAAGGTGGTAAAAAGGTACAAACAGAGTTATAAAATAAGTAAGTCCTAGGAATGGGACTGATGTACAACGTGGTGACTGTAATTAATATTGTGTTGTATGTGTGAAATTTGCTAAGAGTCTAGATCCTCAAAGTTCTCATCATGAGAAAATAAAATTTGTGTATGGTGAGAGATGTTAACTAGACATTGTGGTGATCATTTCACAACACATACAAATATTGAATCACTGTGTGGTACACCTGAAACTAATACAAGGTATGTTAATTATGCCTCAAATTTTTTTTTTTAAGATTTATTTGTCAGAGAGAGAGAGAGCACAAGCAGGCAGAGTGGCAGGCAGAGGCAGAGAGAGAAGCAGGCTCCCCACTGAGCAAGGAGCCCGATGTGGGACTCGAACCCAGGACCCTGGGATCATGACCTGAGTGGAAGGCAGCTGCTTAACCAACTGAGCCACCCAGGTATCCCATATGCCTCAATTTTTTAAAATACAAACTATAAAGTCAAAGAAGCCAATGTGAAAAGGCTACTTATGGTTAAAAGAAAGAAAGGAAAAGAAAAAAGAAAAAGGTAGCTGAGCACCTGACCCTCTTAAAGAAAACATGCCCTCTCAGACGTCCCATAAAGACTTAAGTTCCCTGCCAAGGCCTACAGCAGAGGTTGGCAAATCTATAAAGGGCCACTTAGTAACTATTCTAGGCTTTGTAGGTCATAGGGTCTCTGCCTCAACTATTTGACTCTGCCCTTGCATCAGGAAAGCAGCCACAGATAATATGTAAACAAACAGGTATGGCTGTGTTTCAATAAAACTTTATTTATAAAAGCAGGCCAAGGGCCAGTGTTTGCCAACACCTGCCCTACAGGACCCTCCATGATCTGACCGCTGGCACCTCTCGGGTCTTAGGTCCTTGCTCTGTGCAACTCACATCCCTCCTGTCCCACCCTCTGCTGTTCCTTAAGGCCTCTCTCTGCTGGACACCTTGGCTCCAGAAATTCACAGGGTCCACACCCCAAGGGCACTGTCCTGGTCTTTGCCCCGTGTCAATTCCCAGCCACCAGCCGAAACCACACCCATTCCTGTCTCTTTCCCCTGCTTGCATGTTTTCAGTGACTCTTACCACCGTCTAACATTGGAGTGAAACATTATTACCTTTTCCCTCACCAGACTATGAGATCCACTGGGGCAAGCGTTTGGTTTTACAGTATCCCCACGACCTGCAATAGTGCCTAGTATGGGAAGAGGGTCTCAAGGTTTGTGTGAAGATGTGGGGGGAGGAAGGGAGGGTTTGAGCATTCGAACTCTGCAGCCCTGTTCCAGCCCAGCCTGCCTCTCCAGAAGAATGCAGCCCTCCCCCTAGTGGGGGGGCGGGGGGGAATGTGTAGGTGGGAGGGGAACCCAGCTTCCCTTGTGATGGTCTTTGAAGCCCTCCTTACCATGGTGTTTTCATCCTTAAAGAGGCTTTCTCCTTTGGCTTTAGCAAGGAGTTCCCCAGGGCAATTCAGGCGGTGCTCAGACACAAACTCAAACAGGCTGTTTTTCCTGGAAGGGGAAAAGATGAGGAATGGAGTACACAGTATGAGGGTAAGAGCATGGGTTCGGAATCAGGCAGACCTGGGCTGGAGGGTTGCATTACTACTGCTGGGGCCTCGGGCAAGCTCATGAGCATCGCCACCTGTACCATGGGAAAACAGGTAAAGTACTGACAGCTCTGTTCTATTAGCTCATTTTGACCTCACCTGTGAGCACTTCACACCGTGCCCCCCCAGAAGAAACCTGGAATGCATGGGAGCCTTTCCTGACTTGGGGATTTAAGATCTAGGGACTCTTTCCAGAAGGGAAGGCCCAGGCATTGAGTGGCTGCCTGCACTAGAAGGCAGCAATGGCAGAATTTGAACTCAGGTCTGTCTGTTGTAAAGCCTGCCAGCATCCAGCCACCCCGTCCCCCCACCCCCAGCCTTTCCCAGGACCTTTCCCCTTCCCGAGGTGCCTGAAGCCCTTTTCTTCCTGCACAGGTCCCTGCACTGTGAAAGCCCCAGCCAAGTGGAGTTTCTCCGCAGAAAGTAGTCCTGGCCAAGTCCCCCAGTCACCCTCACTGAGCCACAGTATAGAGACACAGCCACATACCACACGATGACCAGCTGGATAAAGTGCAACAGCTTCTTCTCCCCTTTGCAGGTGGCACAGGTCTTGCTGCCCCTCCCTGAGCACGTGCTGCACCTGAGAGGGACATGAGGTTAGCACCACTCGGGTAGTCAGGGGCTTGGCAGCTTCTACAAGGCTCAGGCCAAATCCTTCCTCATAGAGGTGGACTAAAGTGAGCCTTAATTGGTTCCCCCTGCCCACCATCTAGACCTCCTCCTTCTGGTGGCAATGCCCCAGTTTCCCTTTGGCGACCACTCTTTTCCCACCCTGACCACAGGAACTGTGGGCTTGCCCCCACCCCTTCTATGACCAGCTTGGGACCTGGGCTTAACCCATCAGCTTATTCCATCTGTCTGGCCACAGTGGCTGACACAAAGAAGAACACACGACCCTTGGGAATGCAGTGAGATCTGCCCTCGAACTTTTTTGTGAAACTATCAGGAAAGGGATATCCTTTTTGACTGAGGTTACTAAGCTTGGAGCTGTTGGCTGTCCCCTCTGTCACCACAAGAGACAGCTTGCCTGAGAATGAAGACAACACAAAGGAAAGCAGGGTAAAGGTGGAGACAGAGTCCTGGTGACATTGTTTAAGCATCTGGATCCAGCTGAACCTGAAGCCATCCCAGAAATATAATACCAGAATTTTCCATTACAAGGGTGGAATTTTTTTTGTTAAGCTCATTTGAAATAGGATTTGTGAACAAAAGAAACCTAAGCTTCTTTCCAAATCAAAGACCTTCTTTACCAACCACAGGTGGCAGGTCTGCCAAAGCTTTGCTAGCTGCCTTCTTAGAAGGATGGCCTGGGCCTCAATGAACCAAAAAGTATCATTAACCAACACAACTTTGTGTAGTCTCACTCTCTGGTTTCCTGTTTCCCTTTCAAGATTTATAAATACACTATGGACATGATTTACAAAATGCAATGAGCCACTATTTACAAAGCCCCATGAACAGAGATGGAACTTTGTTGATTGTTTAGTCAATCAACAAACTGTCCTTGACTCCTCCATGCAGGCCCTGCAGTGAGTTATAAATAAGGGTTTGCCTAGGTCCTGATCCTCAAAGAGTTACAGATCTCACCTTCAGGTGGTTTTCTGTGTTCATGTCCCCAGCATATAAGCAGGAAGACATCTCCCCTCCTTAAAGCACCCCCTTCCCTTCTTCTCCACAGTGACTCTTCCTTACGTCTGACCCATAGATTGCCAGATGAGTTCCAGTCTCATCTCAAAATAGCAAGCCTGCAGGAAAGCTCACCCACTCTACAAATATTTCCTGAGCACCCGCTAGGCACAGCACTCTGGGGCACAAGAGTGACACAACAGGGCACCCGATGCCCTCCAGAAGGGCAGACACTGAAAAGCAAGGAAGCTGGTAAGTGAGAGTCCTTCACCTCAGGGCTGGGGAGACCCACTCGTACCTCCGCCTGCCAGACCCCGAGCACATCGGACACCTGCGGGACTGCTTGGCTTTGCGCTTGGCTCCACTGCAGGACGGGCACCTCACCTGCGGACACACCACAGCCTCACAGGCCCCCGCTGGCCTCTCAGAGAAGATGAGCAAAGGGCACCCTGAGACCCGCTTCAGATCCCAACCTGGTGACCTCTAACAAGCCACTTCCTCTCCCTGGGCCTCAGCTCATTCATTTGGAAGACGGGAGGGGTGACCCTTGTGTATCTTTGTGCCCCTCCAGCTGCAGCCTTCAGAGACATGACATGCTCACATCTGTGTTTCTCCTGGGACACCAACTTCACCTGCTCCTCTTGGGCCCCACAACCCCTGAGACCACGTCCTGACCAAATGACCACGGCCAGAGGGACTGGGAAGAGAGGGGCAGGCTGGCTGAGCTGGGGATGAGGAGCTTGGTCTTGGAAAGTCTCCCAGGCTATGCTCCCACTGTTGGCTCAGAGTGGACTCTGGAGACCTTCCAGGAAAAGCCTGGGGGAGGAGAGAGGGGAGGAAGGAGAACAGGGGTGGAGAGAGGAAGAAAAAGGCCACAGGTAGGGGTCCAGGAAGACCAGGAGAAGGCATATGGCAAGAGTGAGGGTACAGGAGACAGAAGGCTGGGGAGCCACCAGTGGGCCCCACCAGTGACACGTGAGTAGGCGGAGGAATGCACACAACAGGCGGAAGGTGGGCATCCAAAGTGTGGAAGGGCAGGTGGGCAGAGAGAAGGTGGACTAAGGTGTGGCTTAGCATGGCAAGGGGTCAATATGTGTCCAACAGATCAGAGTGAAGGGGGAGAGCTGAGAACATGTGAAGAGTGTGGGCTTCCTGCTGGGAGGGTCAGCAGGCCTGGAGGGTTTTGAAGAGAGTGCTTAACTGGAGAACCGGAGAACCTCAGAATGTGCCCTTATTTGGAAATAGTCTTGGCAGGTGTCATTAGTTAAGACAAAGTCATGTTGGACTAGGGTGGGCCCCCACAAGGAGGCCTGAGGGGATGTGGGACAAGAAGCTGGCGGGGTGGCTCAGGGCCTCCAGAAAGAACCAGCCCTGCTCACACCTTGATTTTGGACTTCCAGCCTCCAGAAACGTGAGAGAATAAATACCGCTTGTTTTAAGCCCCCCAGTTTGTGATAATTTATTACAGCAGTCCTAAGGCACTGACCCAAGACCCCTGTCTATTCTGTTTCTCGGAGCCCCCTGAACTTCACCTTCTTAGACTCATCACCGTATACTACATGTGCTGGTCACCTGTCGGTCTTCCCCAAGGACAGAGGGTCCCTGGTAGGGAGGCCCCCAGGTCTGAGTCCTCTTACAGAGGCCCAGCACTGAGCGGGGACTCGGTCTCAACTAATGTTTAGAGACAGATGAGAAAAAGAAGAATTAAAATCATGAACCATAAACCATCAAAGGGAACAAAAGCCAGTAACAAACACCCAATCCAACTTTCCCATTTTATAGGTAAGCAAATAGAGGCCAAAAAGGGAGGATGACTTGCCTCAGGTCACACTGTTAGTGGAGGAGCCCCAGGCCTCCCCAGCCCAGCCCTCCGTCCCCGAGGGGACCCTCTTCCCACACGATCATTAACACCAGCAGCCACCCAGATGGGACTCACCATGCCTGCCCCGTGGCAGCAGCTGCACTTGTAACGCCCACGCCCATGGCATTTGTGGCATTCCTGAAAGTGAAATGCTCTCCTTGGCTCCAGTTTCCCAAACACCAACGCCTCCTGATTTCACCAGCCCCACACCCACCCCATGGCATCACCAGGCCCAGCGTGGGAAGATGGCCATTCTCATTTGCCTAGGATTCCCAAGGGCCTTGAATGCCAAGCCAAGGAGATCATGTTGCCATCTCCTTGGGGCCACAACCCAGTTGGTTCTCCAAGCTCCATGTCCTAACTCATGATCCCAGGCTAAACCACAAAGGCCGGTGTCCTTGGCCCATTGGGTAGCTAAGAGGTCTTTAAGAATAGATACCCCCCCCACCCCAAAAAATGCACAGCAGTTCTGTGGAAGGCAACAAGCTGGCTATTGGAATCTAATTCCTGAATCATTCTTGAGAAAAGAACGGAACCCTCTCTGAACCTCAAAAAGTTCTCACTGTATGAGGCTACGAAAACTCAGAGGGGAAAGTTACATGCTTGAATCAAGTTCTAAAGTGTCAATGAGAACATGATAGGAGATTTCTCTTCTGTGCTTCTGTAATCCATTAGGTTATCCTCACTTCGAGTCGTGATTATACTTCTATAAAACGGGACAGAAGTCAAATTCTGTCCCTTACTGACTTTGCTGAAAATCCAAATAATGCTTGAGCTTTATTTTATATCTGTTTCATTCAGCACTTCCGCTGTTTACTGTCAGGCAAAGATAAAAAACAAAAATAAATTTAAAATACTCCGACGGTCTAGGAATGTGAACACTCACTGGTTAAAGCTGGTGACGGTTTTGTAATCAGAATCATCCTTTCGCTTGTGACTACTCCTTAACAAGCATGGAATTTTATATGGGTCTGTAGTCCATGCTCTGGGTTTCCTTAGAATTTGCCTTACTGATAGCCAAGTAATGAACCACCGGCCTGCCTTCTGGGTTCCTCTCTAAAGAGTTAAAGTTTGAGGAAATATACATTGTCTAGGAAACCAGCTCAGAGAGAAGGGCAAAGATGCCAACAATCACGTTACCTTGACCAGTGACGAGTGAGGGACTTGAAACTTCCTCGTGTCTTCCTGAAACATTGGGGGCACCTGGACTTTGATGTCCCAAAGCCTGGGGGAGGTCCCTCTTTGCGGCCCATCCACTGACTGGTCTGACACAGAAAGAGATCATTGTAAGGCCGGTGAACAGCTACAAGGACAAGCTTTCATTCGTTTACCAAATAAGTATGGAGCCTGCATTGATGCCAGGCATTAGGCAAGAGTCTGGGCTATGGGACAGATAGAGAAGGAGCCCCTCGGAGTCCATGCTTAAGCACCCAAGTGCTGGAGTTGAACAGACCTACCTTACCTCTCCAACCGTCAACTCTCTCATCTCCAAATTGAGGGACATATAGGGCACCCACCAGATAGGGTGGTAGTGAAAATTAAATAGATGGCATAAAAATGCTTAGCATCAGACTGGCCCATGCGAGGGATCAGTAACAAGAACTACCATCACTATCGTGACCATCCCCACCTCCTTCTTCCTCCTCCCCACGCCTCCATTCAAGCAGATAGGGCACAGTGATGACCACCATACGATGTCACAAGCTATGCGAAGTGCTTTGGACCAGAGCTGCATAAACTCAGAAGACTGACTCCTTCTATTGGAGAAGCGGTCAGCAGGTGAAGAAATCCTGAAAGGCTTCATGAAAGAGGTGACACGGGAGATGAGTCTTGAAGGATGAACCGGAGTGGTCAGCAGAGAAGCAAGGGCATGGGGCTTCCCAGAGAGAATGCTCAGCCTCCAAGAGGGGTTCAGCAGCAGGCAGGATGGCACAGTGAATGGGGTCCTAGGGACTATGGGAGGCACTGGGGGTGGCCTTGAAGGCTGGCGGATGTCCAAGCACACATGCTGCCTTTGTCTGCGACCAAAGGCAAACCCTGGACTTCTTTAGGTCCTTCTGCAAACCACTTCCCAGACAGGAAGGATTTGCTGAGATTAGCACTGGAAAGCCCGAGATGAAAGCCCACCCTCTCGTGTTACAGGAGATGGGAAACCGAGGCTGCAAGCCGAAGGGTATCTTATTCAGGGTTAGTGGCTAAGATATGTCCTGATATTTTCCACCAGCACCTGTCAGATTTGCTCCCAATTAAACTGATTTCACTTACTAGTAAAGGGTTGAAATGTCCATTCACTTATTCTGGATTCGGTGAAAGTCTCTAGTCGATACTACAAAGGAAAAAAAAAAAATAGCATGTTCACACTCATGCCCTCTGGGAAGACAGCATTCTACAAAATGAGGAAGCTTCCCACCTGCGGAGCCTCAGAGGGGAAGTGGAAAAACCCCACTCCCAGCACCGTAGGCTGCTGAGAACAAGCTGGCAAGAATGATTTCTGCTCTAGATACCCCCAGACACCTGCAGGGAGATCAGTCAGCCCCAGGAAGTCTCTCCTGACTGGCTCACAACTGCCGCAGCGTCAGCCTCTGATTTCTTTATACCCAGAATGTTCTACAAGGCCCCCTGTGGGGCAGCCATTGCCCTTTGATAGATGGAAGCCAATGGAGTCAGCTTCTCCAAACGTCTTCTTAGGAGGAATTTTTCTGCCTGATGTCAAGAGCCTCCTTCTTGATCTCATCCACAAAAATCACAAAACAAGAACGGGTCTTGGACATAAGCTGGCTCCTCCTTTGACACTGGAGGAAACAGAGGCTCAGAGAGGCCGGTTGACTTGCCCAAGGACACAGAGCTCACTGGAGCCTCTTCCCCCAGCCTCTCATTCTAACCATTCCCTGTGAGGCTTGTGTGTTTTCTGTGTCATTGTACACCCACCAGAGGATGGTTGTGCCGGTAGGAAGTGTGAACTTAAAATCTGTCCCATGGCCTTGTCTATCCAGAGTTTCAGGCCCAAGGGTAATGAAGAAATGATTCCTTGGCACAGATGGGACTTGGGGGATCAAGGAGACTAGGTGGAGGCTTCTCAGCCCACCCCTCCTGGTTAGTCACGTGTTTTTAAGGACATGCACTTTGGAGCCAGCAAACCTGAGTTAGAGTCCTAGCTCTGTCACTTCTAGTTTTATGTTTGGGGCAAGTAACCCTTCAACTCTCTAAACTTCCAGTTCCTCCCCATGAACAGGTGACCGTCCTATCTACCGTGTAGGGTAGCTACTGAGGACCTCCTCAGATGATTATGTGATATACCTCCCACAGCGCCAGCACATTCAAGCTTTTCAGTGGACCACAGACCAGAGAAGCAGCAAAAAGGGTTTTAGAGTCACCCCTCTTCATAAGCACCACTCCCCCCAAGACTCCTTTCTCCATTTGACATCACACAAGCTACTGCCCACCCTGGACCTAACCTCTGAGACACCCCTGGGTGCCCACCAGGCCCAGGCCCCCTTACCCTGCAGAGAGTCTGCTGCTTGAGCTCCTGGATGATGAGGTCACCAGCGGCCGCGCTGCCGTAGCAGCATTTGGAGCTCACAAAGCTGAGAAGGGCTTCCCGAGCCACTTGCTCTGTCACCATAGGGATTCTGCTGGGGACAGAGCACAAAAGCAGGGTCTCTGGAAAGGGCCTCCAGCTCCTCCAGGTCGGCCAGCCCCCCTTGATGCAGATGGAAACTGAAGCCAGGAGCATGGGAAGGGCCTGCTGTGACCCACCAGAGCAGTCAAGGACTCGGGGCTCCATCTGAAGAGGGCGTCTCTGGTGCAGGGAGCTGTGTGAACAGACGCCCCCAGCGGGGACACAGTTCTTTCTAGAGGACAGCAAAACTGCTTTAGCTGAAGTTCAGGGCTCACAGAAGGGCTGAGAGAATCTCAGAACTCACACACACACACACACACACACACACACACACAAATTTAAAGATGGAATATACATTTTACATTTTACATTTACATCTAAAATTGCCATTTTACAGATGAGGAAAACTGAGGTATGCAGAAGATATCCCACAACTAGAAGGAGGCAAAGTTAGGCTAGACCACATGCCTGTCCTTGGAGACCTTGACCTCAGCCAGAGGAGCTGTGAGCAGTGTTCATAGGAAGACCCCAGCCAGGAGCTACCTGATGGTGGTCCCACAGTGACCACCATGAGCCTGCTGGGCTGCAGCGGCAGTGGGTGTGAAGGGACACAACCAGTGGCCCCTTCCTTGACCTTCTCTCTGGATGCCTCCCCTCCTCCTAGAACACCCTTCCCCGAGGCCCAGCTGCCGTGTCCCCTCCTAGCGAAGTCCTCTCCTGCCAACACTTCCAAAAAGCAGGAGTCCTCTCCTCCTTCTTCCTCCCTCTCATCTTCACTTACTTTTCCACACTAGCCCGACTCCAAACAGTAAGACCCTCTCATGCAAAGGGATGTCACCAGCACCCCTGGCCTGGTGGACCAGAGGGACCTGTGTGCATGCAGGAGGTGTCAGGCCCAGAATGGCCAAGGGGGCTCCACGGAGGAAGTGGGGTCTGCCCTGGGCACAGGAGGTGGGCAACCAGGTAGGAGAAGGGGAGGTGCTCCGGGCAGCAGTGGGGCCAGGAGCGTCCGGAAGACTCCCTGGAGGCAGGACACAGCCACCCAGCCAAGACGCAGGACCCAGAAAGGAGGGCTCCACTTTCTCTCTGCACAAAGCAGGCTGGAAAGCCGGAGCTCTGTCCAGAGTCCTGGGTCTCTTCTTCTGTAAGGGACTAGAGAGTAAATATTTCCGGTTTCCTGGGCCATACAGTCTCTGCCTCAGTCACTCCCTTCTGCTGGTGTAGCACAAAAACTGCCCC